ACAAGGGATATCATTGCTGACGTCAGATGATAAGCAGAGAATACCTGAAAGATGTTTACCTGTGCTTTATTGACTATGTGGTGGCTTTCGATTGTGTGAATCATGACAAGCTATGGACAACATTGCGCAGTCTGAGTATTCCAGCACCTTGATTGTGTTCATGAGGAATCTGTACCTAGACCAAGAGGCAAACAGAACAAGGGAACACTGAATGGTTTAAAATCAGGAAAGGTGTCCGACAAATTTGTATTCTTTCACCATACTTATTCAACCTCTATGCTGAGCAAATAATCCGAGAAGCTGGGTTATTTGAAGAAAACCATGGCATCAGTATTGGAGGAAGACTCATTAACAACCTGTGATATGCAGATGATCCAGTCTTGCTTGCTGAAAGAGAAGAGGACTTAAAATCCTTACAGATGAAGATCAAAGAGCACAGCCTTCAGTATGGGTTGTACCTCAATGTAATGTAAAGAAAACAAAGCAAAGATGTCAGTTTGACCTAAGCCTGACCTAAGCCATGGTATTTTCAGTAGCCTCATATGCATGCAAAAGTAGAACAATGAATAAGGAAGACCATAGAAGAATTGATACTTTTGAGTTACGGTGTTGGAGGAGAATATTGAAAGTGCCATGGGCTGTCAAAAGAACCAACAGATCTGTGTAGGAAGTACAGCCAGAGTGCTTCTGGGAGGCCAGGATGGCCAGACTTTGTCTCTCATACTTCAGACATATTGTCAGGAAGGACCAGTCCCTGGAGAAGGATATGTTTGCTAAAGTGGAGAGTCAGAGAAAAAGAGGAAAACCCCCAGTGAGATGGACTGACAAAGTGGCAGCAGTAATGGGCTTATTGGGAGGTTGGCACAGGATAGGCAGTATTTCATTCTGTTGTGCAGAGGGTCGCTGTGAGTCGCTTTGGGCTCAATGGCACCTAACAACAACATCAGTAACAAAACAAAAAGTAGGAAAACACAGTAGAACGCTCAGTGTAAATGAAGGCCTGTTGACAGTACATTATTTGGTGATAGATAAAGCTAAGCTGTTTCCTCTCTATTCAAGAAAGTCAATGTTCAAAATAATTTCAGTGGGATTTAAAAGAATTGCAGTTGATTATTTTCCTTCTTCTACTTGCAAGTTTACAAAACCTGATGCCTTTTCTTGCTTTTAATCAGTTAAAAATGGCATTAAATTTTGTTTACTTTTTCCAGGAAGGGCATTCTATTGACTTTGTATAGCCCTGGTGGCACTCTGGTTGACTTGGCTGCTAAGGTTAGTGGTTTGAGCCCACCAGTTGCTGCACGGGAGAAGGATGAGGCTGTTTGCTTACGTCAAGATTAACAGCCTCAATTTGACAGTTGTTTTCTATCCTTTGAGGTCACTGTGAGTTGGAATTGACTCAATAGCATTAGGTTTAATTGTGTGTTTTTTTTTATTATGTGTAACTCTTGCTAATTTTCTCAGATTGTCTGCCTTTAAGGTAAATATCATCAAGTTGATCATTCTGCTTTAAATTCTTCTCTGGCTCCTGTCACCTTCTTTCTGGATGATCTCAGACCCCTGGGGTAGCACAGAACCACGCAGGTCATGCCCTGCTCTGCCTCTCTCTAAACCTCATCTTGGGCTCTCCAAGCCTGAGGTTCAGCCTGCACTCAGCAGCTCCCTCCTGTCCTCAAGCACTACACAGCTTTTTGTCATCTGTGGAGGTTGGTCCCTCAGGGGAATTGCCCCTACTGCCTTCACTGTGGACTCAGGTATTTGCCTTGGTTGCTCTGTGAGCTTATCTAGAGTAGGAACTTGTGTCTTCTTTCAGGGTCTGGCACATGTATGTTCCATGTGCATGACCAGTGGAAGTTTGAAGAGATTTTCTTAGCTGCTGAATTTCAGAGAATCTGGCTTATCTTTTGTCGGAACAAGAGTACACCAGCTATGAGTGTTTTAGCTGTAGCTCCCGTGAGAGATGTTCACCATGGGGTGCATATTTTGGCTGCTTGGAGCTCTTTGAAGGCTGCCCCCCCCCCCCCCAGGTCTTAGGCTCTGTTGTTGCTTAATGACCTTGGCAGACAGACTGCTTTTCAAAAGCGCAATTCTTTATTTTCCGATTTCAATAATAATGATGGGGAAAGGGTCAAAGTCATTCAAAATCACAAGGGCAACATTTACTTATGGCCAGTGGCCAGTGCTGAGGTGGGATGGGAAGGTGGGTGGAAAGGAACTAGGAACCATAGGGAGTAGGGAGAAGAAAGCAGAACACCTGTTGTTGCCCGGAGGGGACTGCACTCATTGAGACTGAAGCAAAGTGTCTGTACTATTTGTTGACTGTAAAACTGATGATCTTGTCTATAAACCTTCACAACGTTCACAAGAAACAGTTAAACAAAATATGAGCAGCTTTTCAAAAAGACCGTCCTAGGGACTTTGAAAATATCTCACAAACAAGAATTAGCCATTTGGCTTCGTTTTTATTCCATAAAATACAGTAATAACGTCAGACTGAGACGGTTCGGTGCTCCCTCAGGGCCTTCAGGAGGTTCACTGCAGGCCTACCTTGAAGACTCTGCAGCTTGGCGTACCGGCGGCCTCAAGAGCATAGTAAAGAGAGGCAGATAGATTTGCATGTTTAAATTATGTTTACACTATACAATAGTCTTATTGTGTTAGCATTATAAAACAGTAAGAAATACCGTGGGGACCACCGAAATGTGACACCGAGACACCAAGTGAGCACTGCGGGTAGGTAAACTTGCTCGATCAGGGCTGCCCAAAACCTTTAATTGATAAAATATGCAATATCTGCGAAGTGCAATAAAGTGGACCTCAGTAAAAGGAGGCAGGATTCTATTAAGAATTGGACCACTGACATTAACTGCCCACCTGAGTTGTCCAATATTGTAGCCTCAAACCACTTAGGGCTGTTGGACACTTGACATGTGACTAGTCCAAAGTCAGATGGGCTCTGTTGTTGTTAAGTGTTGTCCTGTGGATTCCAACTCCTAGCCACCCTGTATAGGATTTCCTGGGAGTGGCTGGTGGGTTTGAGCCACTGATTTTGCTGTTCAACCTTGGGATCCAGTGCTTATCCCACAGTGCCACACCAAGACAACAGAAACTACTGGGCGGTTCTACTTTGTCGTATGGTGTTCCTGACAACAGGAATTGTTGGGCAGTTCTACTTTGTTGTATGGGTTTGCTATGAGTATCAGCTGGCTGGCAATGGGTTTGGGGTTTATAGACCAGGAACCCTGCAGAGAGTAGCTGTCTTCAGATGCAGGTAGACAGTCCTGTAGAAGAGAGCAGGGGGATCCTCTGTATCACAAGAGCTAAGAAGGCTGCTCCCTCTACCCAGAATGCTGTTCGGTCTGATCTCGTATTCCTTCCTTGGTGTTTGTGCCTCTCTTCTGGTCCACTCTGCCTACATACAGTGTGAGTGAGGTAACGGGTATGACTGGGGGTGCTGGGAGGAATGGAGGCAGGGTGCACCTGTCTTAACTGTGGACCCCAGACTCTGGTACGGTCCCCCACGTCCATAGTAAGTACTCAGAAGTCATTTGTTGAATGAATGATAGTGTTATGTTGTTGTTGTCGTTAAATGCTGTTGAGTTGATTCCAACTCATAGCGACCCTGTATAGGGTTTCCGAGGAGCAGCTGGTGAGCTGGAACTGCTAACCTTGCAGTTCATACGACTTTACAGTCTGGTGCATTAACCCACAGCGCCACACCAGGACTCCTGAATAGTGTTAAAGGAAGGCAAATTTCACTGAATTTAGAAATACGTACACAAATTAATGAAAATGGTTCCACCATGGAATGATTGTCCAAACTCAGTATTTAATCTGAGGCAATGCATTTTATAAGGAGTTCTTGCCCTAGATGGGAGGTAAAGTTTACTACTAGGCTATTAGCGTAGTGGTTACAAATTGGGCTGTGACCCTTAAGGTCAGCAGTTCGAAACTACCAGCCGCTCCGCGGGAAAAAGATGAGGCTTTCTGCTCCCGTAAAGATATACAGCCTCGGAAACCCTGTACAGGGTCGCTATGGGTCGGACACAACTTGACTTGATGGCACTTAACAACAACAACATTGTCGTTTTAAGAGTCGTGAATCTTATGACATGAGGTAATAAACACAAAGATGTCAACAAAACAAAAAACCAACTATGAAACTGTAAGGTTGTTTCATTTAGCTTTTACAAATAGACACTTTTAAAAAGACTGGAGTCCCATGTGGCACTGTGGGATAAGCGCTGGACTGTTAACCGCATGATTGGTGGTTCAAACCCACTAGGTGTTCCTTGGAAACCCCTACATAGGATCGCTATGAGTCATATCCAATTCAGTGGCACTTAGTAACACCAACAAAAGCATTAATGATATGAATCTTTTAGGTAATTTTGTCAATACGTTTGAAGCGGGATAGAATTTATAAGCATATAAAATGTATTTCGTATATGTTGTGAAGTGCTGTCGAGTTGGTTCTGACTCATGGTGTGACCCTGTATAGGATTTCCAAGGACCAGCTGGTGAGCTGTGCATATTTATAAAATGGAGACAAATTCATTTATTTTAGAAACAAAGACAATTTTGGAATTAGCCATAATGTTTTGTTCTAACTTGTTGAAATGTTGAAAACCAGACATCTAAATTAGGGTATTAGAACTACTTCAGTCCTTAGAGAACACTAAGAAGATATTACAGCGACATGTTGGGTGGGATTAGGTCCTAGAACAAGCAGAGGACATTCGTGGGACAACCAGTGACACCGGAACACAGACGGTAGCCTGTCGCGTTGTTCCAGAGTTAACCTCTTAGTTTTGACAATCGGAATGTGGTTATGTTAGACACTAATATTAGGGGAAGCCGAGCTCAGGGCATACAGCAATTTTAGGTACGATTTTTGCAAACTTTGCATTAAGTTGAAGATCTTTTCAAAATAGAAAGTTTTAAAAAGCAAACAAGTAAATGAAAAACTGACTCTAGACTGGTCCCTTCTTTTCCTCGTTTAGCGACAGCCCCCATGCTGTTCATGACGTGGAGACCTGGCTACCCCGACTGCATACCCTTGTTGTGGGACCTGGCTTAGGAAGAGATGACCTTCTCCTACAAAACGTTAAGGTAATATTTGTCGTTCTTAAACACTCTGCTCATTTCCCCTGCATTTCCCAAGCATAAGTTACATCCTCTTGTGTGGTCTTCTAAATGGCTCTTTATTGATTAAATCAGGTAGGTAAAATGGTATGAGGCCTAGAGGAGGACCTTGGCACAAGGTTAGTGAACTGTTTTAAAACAAAAACCAAAAACGAAATTGAATGAATCTTGTTTTCACTCTTGGGACGCTCGCTGTATTCACACCGAAGAGCACTAGAAGTCAAGTCTTAGTGTGGCGCTGTAGGAACAGCACAGGACTGTAAACTACAGGTTGGCGGTTCAAACCCACCAGCCACTCCTCGGAAACCCTACACAGGTTTGCAGTGAATCAACAGCACTAGAAGGTCAATATGGAATAGCTCCGGTATTTTGTTGTTGTTGTTAGGTGCCATCGAGTCGGAACCGACTCATAGCGACCCCATGCACAGCAGAACAAAACAATGTCCGATTCTGGGCCAACCTCACTACCGCTGCCACACTTGACACCATCAGTGATGCTAACTGGCCAATTCATCTCGTTGGAGGTCTTCCTCTTTTTCTCTGACCCTCTATCTTACCCAGCATGACATCCTTCTCCAGCGACTGTTCCCTCCTTAAAATATGTCCAAAGTGTGAGAGACAAAGCTTAGCCATCCTGGCCTCCAAGGAGCACTGTGGCTGCACTTCTTCCAAAACAGATCTATTGGTTCTTTTGGCAG